ATACAGTTTAATTGCTTTTGTGTCTTTTTGTGTGCTCTTTGATGGGGGATGGGATTTCAGAGGGCCTCTGCCAGGAGAAAGATTTGCCAAGGTATGCCCTCCTCTGCGTCTCCTGTGGAGCGAGGCTCTACACTCGCTTGTAAATAGTGAGATAAGTGTGGTTTACCCATGACTGGGGTGTAAGGTGCACTCAGTGCCGCCCTGACATGTCTGTGCCAAAGCCCAACAGGGGTGTAATTACCTGAGACTGGGTCAGCACTTTATCCTAGGTAAAAATACCTGCCTACTTATAGAAAGGGAATTGAGAGGGCAGCTCCATGCAAAGGGAAGCCTGTCCAACTGAACTCTCATCCACACCTCCATTTTTAGGAGATGCATTGAAACGTTTAACACTTTTCTGGGGGACTTCCAGACATACAGTGATCTTTCCATCTTCATGTTCTTTGCTGCGACGGACTAACTTACTAACAGACCCTAACACTTTTACACACATCCAATGTTCCACTTTGTTCCTCTGAACACAGCTGACTTTCAGCCCAGTACCTTTCCACACTCGCTCTGTTCCCCTTCTCCGCCCTTTTCACACCACATCTGTCTCTCCGACCTACGAGTCAAGGACATAAAGGGCCGAGCAGGCATGCAGAGGACAGCTCTGCACCAATCAGGAGACAAGGATAGTTTGTGTCAATTAAATGGTATGTGCTTATGCCGCAAATCACACACACATGTTCCCCTCTTCCCACCCACCCTGTGGCTGTTGTCTTTCTTCTGCACCACTTAATATAACGTAATCATCCTCATTACCTAATGAGACCTTACTATACATACAGACTCCCCCTTTCCCCTTCACGTACGGGCATACAAACAGTTCGTGGCTTACACACAGTTGTATAGGCGGTGCAGCAGAGAAACATTTTAACCTCCAACACACTGTCAACATAGTAACTTTCAGTGCCACAACGCTGTAAAGCCTCTAATGCCACAATAATACTATTGTAGTGTGTATTATCAACAGGACAGTGAGCACTGAATTAGGCTGGCAGCTGGGGAGGGGAGAAACCCCTCATTAGCTCCCTTCAATGTATCTACTTCTCCTAATCGCTTACAATAACATAATCTCTTTAAAAGTGCTGCAGCTTTAGTCCAATCTGCCTAAAACCTGACACGTGATCGAGGTCAATCCCCCAGCGGAACCAAACTGTGGGGTTCTGAGAGCTCACATGCATAAGCTGCAGAATATGAGCAGGTTTTATACCATTTTGCACAGTGCAATAATTCCACAGCTACTATTTCTCTTCTATATATTTCTTTGCATTGCTCACTTCATTCTCAGCCGGAGTCTGGGCTGCTTTTTTTTGCACGTGCTGCTGATCCCAGTGCAGTTTGTAACCTCTTTAGAGCCTCTGTCTTTATCCAGTTGTGGAGTGCCATTCTGCTCTTTTTATTTCTTGATGTTTTTTCCATAGTGTCTCTTGCCTGCAAACCACTTGCAGATGTTGGCAGCAGAGAATGTTGTGGCAACTCCAAACGAGGAAATCTAAATAGAGATCAGGCTGTAAAATAAAAAAGAAAGTTTGGAATAAGAGAAAACAAGGTGGAAAGCAAGAAAGCAAATGTGAGAATGGGATTAATGGGTGACATAAACCAGAACGCACTCAGTGAATATTAATATGGAATTAGTAGACTTTGAGAGAGAAAAGAACTTACTGGGTATGAGATTAGATGATTAGAAGGCAGTTAACATTATTTTAGTTTAACCCATTTTCTGTACCAGAGAGGAGAGGAGACTTCTTTTACTTTAATCCTTAAACAGCAGGAGTTTACAAATTGAAATTAAATTAAAATTTGCTGTTGAATAGGTAATGTTAATACAAAATAAACAGGTGAGAGAACAATTGTTTTGCTATAATTTAAGAACAATCTCAGATGTTTACATTCACATTAGTACTGAAAAGGGGAACCACTGAAAAGCATATTTTTTACTCATGTCTTTTATTGATCCGCTAGTATAAAGCTGAAATTTGGTCAGTCTGCTGTTTTCCACACATCAAATGAAAAACAGTTGTCAATGATAGAGACGTTCATTCAAAGATTGGGGACCCATCAAAATCTAACTGCGGAAGTTCATCATGATTGAATCATTCTATTTCATCTCAGAAACTGCAATCGCACAACCCCAGGACACACTTTGCACAAGTGGAAAACATTTAAGACACTTGTTGCCCCCCTTATGAGTGTTAATCAACAGAAGAACAACTAATACTCCAAGAAAAAGGCATGTGCAATCCCCAGGCGAAAAAAAAGAAAAAATTAGGGTGACTTTTGGGTAGTTAAAGACCTCTTTCACATGTTAATGTTCACAAGTCCACTGCCAGGGGAACACTTAGAAATAATGGTGAACTTGGCAAGTCTGCAACAAGGAAGTAGTCCAAAAAGAACTGTGCTGCCGATCCCTAGTTTACAAAAGATCACAGAGCAAATGCTAAAGGGCTGCTCTGTTTCTGTGACAAAAGAGAAGCAAAGTAGAACATTTTGGTTTATATAAGAAACTACAACCACTTCTGCTGCCTGCTGTACTGTATCACTAGTGTTGATTGAATCATGTATTCTGAAAAATGAGAATAAAAAAAAAATTATTAACAATATAAAAGATGCAAAGCTTAGGATCATATTTTGTTATATCAAATTGAAATAAATAAACAATAAAGCCAGTGTTTGAGCATTGGCAATTCAAAGTCCTGATGTTGATGTAGAACATTTGTGAAAGAGAATGAATTAGTCAATTTGCTGTACCCGCTTCATTTAGTTCAGAGTTGTGGGGAAGGTGGATCCTGTCCTGGCTACTACCAGTCAAAAGGCGGGGTATATCCCGGATGGCTCCTAGTCCATCACAGGAAGAGAAATACAGGGATTTCTAAAAGATTCACCAAGTTTAAACCACCAGAGAACATGGCAAACCGCCGCAACTTTTGAGGAGCTCATAATAAGCTCGCTCAAAATTCCATATGTTCCAAAACCACAATGTCATATACGCCTTTCCAGTTACAGCTCCCTTGGCAGGCTTTTATATGAAATGGCAAGTCAAAACATATAGATACAGTATAACACTCTCCAGCTGGAATTTACCAGCACCTACTGGAAAAGAGTTTGGCTCAAGTGAAGGTAGACTGATCTGTGCTGGTGGTTCCCTGTTACCTCCCACCACCTGTTTTACAGGAAGTAGCCATGTCCCAGTGGATTAGAGAGGAAACGTGTTGAAGTGCCACATCCTGCTTTGAGCTCAGAGCCACAGTTCAGTACGGCTAATGCTTATTATGTCCAGACACCTCAGAGGGAGAAAAAGAGCACATGGACGGGGGTGGATGGGGGGGTTGTGATTGTAAAGATGAGTGACCTGTCTCTCCCATTTCTTCGCTGCCGCCCTCCTCTTCCTCTCTCTCCCCTTGTACTTTATTTATTAATGGATCCATTAAATTATTTACCTCACATCTTAGGCCAGAGCACAATGCACAGGCGGAGATGATACAGCATACAGACTGCTCATGAAAAGCAGCCCAGGTGTTCAGAAGAGTTAATTGACTAGTAGCTCATAAATCTATAATGTAATGTTAAACAGAGAATTATCATAACCAAAAACATTTATTTGATCCTTTGTTTTTCAATTAGTTGCTTATTATTATTCAGAATTAAGTTAAAAAAAATGCATCTATAGGATTTTTTTTTTTTAACCGTTGCTTTTCATACCTTTTAGTCGGTTTAGTTTGGTTCTTGCATCAGGTAAATTATGCTTGAACCATCGCACATTCCTCTGCCATAGTCTGCTGACAGATGGTCTTCACACCTGAGCATCCTGTCTGCAGAGGAATTTGATGGTTCAAATGTATCCTGCACTGCTCGGTGTCTTCTCTTATCTTTTCCTTCTGGCCTTATCACTGGAGTGGCCAGACATGAATCAATCCCCTAGAATTAGGTTTCACATCCCGGAAGCAGAGACGTACACATGGGTCACTTTCATCGACTCACTGCGGCCACGGCCATAGGACAATTCATCCAGAGCATTGAGTCATTGTGACCAGGAAGGTACCAATTGATTAGAAAAAGAGGCTGTGGTGGATTATGTTAGCTGGAAAAAAATTATCTCAAGCGGGATATGGGGGTGGAGGGTTGGGGGAGGATGATGCTATTGTTTGTGTTATTTCAGAATGGGTGTTTGTATCTATTCATATGGGGTGTAACAGACTACAGATGAAAAACAGATGTTGACGCCATGTGAACTCTCCAGACTTGGACGACCTCAACGAAGAACTGAAGATGAAGACGAGGCTGGAAAGCTTAATGAAGAAGGGGATGAGGACAAGAAAAATTGTTAAGACTGATTGACTAATGTCCAGCACACTGAAGACTGTGAGTTTTCCTCAGCCATTTTTCAATACACACACACAGAAACACACACATATACGCACATGTGGAAAATTGTCTGTATTTCCTATCAAGGCACTTATTTCAAATAGCAATGAGAAGATAGGCCTGCTAAAATAAATGCTTCCTTTAATTTCCTAATATCTTCATGCTTACTGGTGAATGCACATACACTTGAAAGTCCCTTTCAGTAAATTGTTAATGCTCTCTTGAGAGAGTGCCTGTGTGTCCATTAAGAAGGCCTGTTTAATTCCCTAAGAAATCATTGTGATTGAGAGTAGCAGGGGAATCACCTCCAGTAAAAGTAAATGGACTGCTGGTGTGTGTCTGTATATGGAATCTGATCAAAGTGCAATTGAGACAACATCACATCACACACTAAACTCAAACCATGCTGTCGGTTATTAAGAAACACACAAGCCAAAAATAAGGTCAAAGGCTGTATGTTCGTTCAAACTATAAATTATACAAATGAGTGTGTGTGTGTGTTGGGTCTGATTGTGTGAAAGAGGCAGATGTGTGCACATTTCAAAGGCTTTGGAGGAGCTACAGTGTGGTTAAGGATAATGTTTGGAGAGTTTCTAGAGGCTGGTGGAGCTGCGTAGAGCCTGAAAGTGCTGAGGCCCGGGCGGTGAGTGGAGGCAGGCCGACTGTCCCGGGACTCTCTGCTGCTGCTGAGAGAAGCAGCTGAAGGTGGAAGCTGGCAGAGCCGGCTGAATGCAGATAGGATCTCTGTGGGGGGTGTGAACGTGTGATCGGAGACTAAAATCATTACAGTACGCCTGGTCACTGTGTCCTTGGCTCTTCCGCTGAGCAGGGACTGATGCTGTGTTATACTTTGACGCTCTGCCTTTTTCCCTCCCCTGACATTTCACTCTCTTCTTTGCAAAGCGCTTTAAATGAGCAGCTCATGAAAATCTCTTTACCAAATATTGTTTCTGGAGTAAAGATTTGGATGACGATTACCATTCATGACGCCTTTTTGCCAGGATGGCAATAACAGGTCAGTTGAGACTGTAATATAACAAATAAACATTTGATTTGCAAATGAGATTGTCACATTGTCAAGTGCCTTTTGTCAAATATTCAATTTCTTATCAGATTCATCATTTAGAAGGTGTAAATAGGCATTTAACCCCAGTCATGAGTGTATTGTCATTTTTTCCCTTTTCTGTGCATCCAGCTGAGTTTTTGTGTTGAGTTCCGAAGTCACAATAGCCACACGACACTGAACAAAACACACAATTCTCTCTGTCTTTCTGTGTGTGTCTGACCCACTCAGCGCCTCTTCGATATTAAATCTGAAGAATAAGGTGACAAGGATCACCCCAAACACATGTTTTTGTTATTTTGGGTTATTGTCAGGGATTGGTCGCTTTCTCCTTCTTCACCCCAGCTGCACTCCTGCCCTGAGGCTGCAGTGCCTGTCCAGAGAGGAGGGAGGGAGAATGTAAACTAGACTCGCCTTACTTTGGTCTCATTGGTTGATTCTCTGCCTAGCGGTTTTGTCCTTGAGAATGTGCAGACACGGAGCAGATAATGTTCTGACACTAGAAACTCTAGACCAGGACCAGATCAACACTTACTCCCTTTTTATTCTGCTCCTGTTGCTCTAGAATAAATGCACTCAGACTGGACAAATAATGCTTATAGAGATCAGAACTGTGATTTTTTTTTTCAAAATAGAAAAAAAAATCAAAAGAATGAAAGATGTTTCTGCATATTTGTGCCGTCAGATGAACTCCAGATCACACATTTCATGAATAAACTGCACTAACTTGCCAAAAATTAAAATAAATGAACAAATAGAAAAAAAAATCTGTCACAGAAGAAGGCTCACACACGGGACTTGTCTAAATGTGAGATCCGGCTCGGAGAGTTAAGCTACTGGTTCGGACTATTAGGAGTCAAACTGCCCAACGGCCAGGTGTGTTTATCCCCGGAAGTCACGCACTGCCAAACCCAAAATAAGTTTACGACAAAAGGTAAATCTGAAGGTTTCATCCCTTCTCCGATGTGTTGCAAGGTCAAAGATCTCCTTTCACTGGGAGCTCCTGTGACGGCGGAGTTTGTGCAGAAGTCAGCAGAGCTGCACGCACAGGAATCTGCTGCTGCAGAGCCGGGGATCTAATCTCTGCAGGCCTGCGCCTTTTAACACCGTTTCCACACCATTTATTAGTGTTCAAATGTAATAAAGGCTAGGGAAAAATTAAGTGCAAATAGTTTGGACGTCGATGCAAATGAGGTTTTTTTTAAGGGAATAATGCTTCTTCTGTTCAGCTTATGTTGTGGCCTTTTTATTTTTGAATGACGTGTTAGGGTTTTAATTACGGCTAATTCACAGTTTAAAAAGGGTATGAGTTATTTTTCCGCCCCTCGCATATCTTTCCTGCACGGCAGACGTTAAAAAAAGGTCTGACAGGTCATTGTTGCCATTTCAATGACTTTAATAAGCAAAATAGGAAACCATTTTTTTTCCAAAAACAACAACAAAAAGACAAAACAGAAACCAGCCTGAATGGAACAGTTCAAATTTAAGTGATACTATTATTTATATAAACAGGATTGAAAATTGATCCCCATCATCGATAAGTACATGGAATTGGTGAAAACAAAACAACAACCCGCTGCTGCAGTTTCAGTTCGATTTCAACACAGTTGAATCAACAAACCAAAGATTGTTAAATGCATGACTTTTCGAAGACAGTTTCAATGCAAGCACCATGCTTAATCGATATGATCTGACACTTTAATTTAAATCATTAAAATAAAAACTTTAACTATGCATCTGGCCAGCAGAACCAGAATAATCAAATAATAATAAAACAGACAAAAAAGTATTACATAACAATGGATATGTTTTCATTTTGAGAGTTTGCACAACCTGAATCCCCTTTTTTACTGACCGGCAGAAAAAAAATCAGGAAAACATAGAACATTAGTCAAACTTTGTATCAAAAACAGGTGTGTTATCTAAATATTCACTCTACATTAAATCCTCTGACATGTAAGCTGTTGCAGCTTCTCGTTACAATATTGTTAAAATATAAGTTATTAATGCCAGGCCCAGTGAAAACATGCTACAGGTGGCTGTCAAACGGAATGAGAGGTATGTGGTTTTGTCTGAGTTAAATGCGTTTCGTTTACGTGTTAATAAAAATGCAGACGACACGTTTCTAAATCCGTTAATCTGAATTAAAAGGAAATACATTATCAAGCCACTATGCAGAACCCTATCATCTCGTGTCCACACGTTTGTCTCCTCCAGATAACATTTGGCTGAAGCTTCACACAAAGGCCTTTTTCTATTACTGTTACCATATGATATCATAGTATGTCTTCCTGTAGGGAGGTCTGCACAAAAGTCAAAATGAAAACCTGCAAATCAACATCCAAAAGTGCACTTGACACACAGTTTGTTGTATTTAAATTCAACTTAAAAACAAAAAAAGAAGGAAAACACTCTTCTTTCAATCAAGATCCCCGAAATTATAGAAAAATCGTAACAAAGAATGAATGAAAGAAAAACACAACACAAAGAAAGAAGTTCAAACCAGCCTCCTCAATCTTGTTGTGCAGTTTTGCGGTTGAATAATATTTACAAGTCAAAAGAAACCCACACCATATGATACTGCACCGGCAGTCCTGCTGTTCCGTCCCCGCTGCAATTCTCTAACCCCCAAAACTATGGAGAAGCGCAGATCAACAACATGCTCATAATATACACGAGAAAATGAAAGTACAAAATAGAAATTATTACCGTACATGTCCAGCATGCAGGATTAATATTTAATGCAGATTTTTTTGTTTGTTTGTTTCAATATATATTCGAATATAACCAAGCAGGCAATAAATCAATGAGATGTTGCATAAGATGCCCCCCCTCCCGTGACGGGTTAGCAGACAGAAGATAAATTTGCATAAAGTGGAGTCCCGCTTTTGGATATGTTCTGAGATTTGCGGGCCCACTTGTCGAATGTGAGTCTCGAGTTACAGGCTGGGAAGTCAAGCCTGCTTTGTTTTATTTTATAACAATGCCATCATTTTTTGGAGAACAAAATTTCAAAACGACGTCCTCCACGCCATCCCACACTACTTACAGATGATTTGAAAGCTGTAGCCTCGCAGGAGAAAAAAAAAGGGTTCATCAGCCGTTCATCCTCTTTGAAGACGAAAAGTCTCTTCACTACAAGCAACTAACCTACAAAGATGCTGCGGCTGCTCACACTCTCTACTCTGCTCTTTGTATGTCAGTTGACACGTGGATGGGGAGATGATTATATATGAGAATAATATTTGATGGATTATTCTTCTAATATGAATATAATTGGTATCGTTATTAGTATAATCAAACAGTATGGGAAGTGTGGATTATTATCGCTTGTTCATCAACAAAGTCAGTCATGTGGAGAGAAGCGGGGGAGAGTTTGTTGTGAGGGATTTCGCGAGAAAAAAAAAAGGCTGCGTCAACTCACATAAAAAACTCTGGTGATGAGGGGTTGTCGCTGGTCGAGCCCGCCTCGCGGAACCCGCTGCTGGCCCCTGACCCGGTCAGTTTCTCGCACTTGAGTTTGTAGGCGTCCCTCTCCCTCGCCAGCCGGCTGATCTCCGCCTTCAGCTGCTCCACCTGGTTCATCAGCTGCGTCTTCTCGTTCTCCAGCACGTGCTTCTGCTGCACGCGCTTGAACCTGCAGGACTGCGCGTATCCCCGGTTCTTCAGGGTCCTCCTCTTCTGCTTGAGGCGGATGACCTCGTCCTTGGTGAAGCCGCGCAGGTGTCTGTTGAGCTCCCGCACGGACATGGACACCAGCTGCTCGTCGGAGAAGCGGTCCTCCACGTTCAGCCCCCCCCCGGAGCCGTGGTGCGCGCCGGACTGGCCCAGGTGGCCGTGCGGGTGGTGGTGGTGGTGGTGGCGGTGGTGGTGGAGCGGCTGGTGGGACTCTGGGGACACCGGGGAGGGGCTGTCGGGGTCCTGGCTGTGATGGTGGTGGTGCTGGCTGTGCGCGTGGCTCAGGCCAGCGGGGTGGCCGGACAGCTCCTCGCCGTGGTGCTGGATGCCGGCCGCGTACGGGTGATGGTGCTGCTGGCCGTGGCCGTGGTGGCTGTGGTGGTGCGGACCCCGGTAGCCCTCGAAGGCGCCCTGCTGCTGCTGCTGCAGCTGCTGCTGCACGTGCGGGGGCGGGGGGTGGCCGTGGGCCGTGGCCCCGATCAGGGCCTCCACTGCGTCCTCGGGGGTCAGGCTCAGCGTCTGGGGGTCTATCTGCTGGTGGTAGCCGTTGTTGGGCATCCAGTACAGCTCCTCCAGGTGGTGCTTCTGCTCTGTCGGGCTGAAGCTGGGCGACGAGGGCACGGAGCTGCAGGGCGTGCTGATGGGGGTGGAGGACACGGAGCCCTGGGGTTGGAGACGGTTGCACTGGCGCACCCCGTTCCGATCCAGCCCGGCCAGGCCCTCTTTCTTCACGTCAAACTTCATCAGATCAAAGTCGTTGACATATTCCAGAGCCAGAGGGCTGCTGGGTAGCTCCGGGCCCATATTCAGCTCTGCACTCATGTTGTCGCGAGTCTTTTGCAGACACGCAAAGGTACTGGCGAACGTCGCAAAAACTGACTTATTAATCAGGGTTTCTTCTCTCCTCTCTTGTTTCATGCAATAGTTCTTTGGGCTCCTCCAGCGCTCTGCACTAACTTGCTGTAGCATGAAACACCCTGTGGTTGGTGGTGGGTGGGGGGGGGGGAAAGTAAACGAAAAAAAAAGTTCTTGAAGAAAACTTTCAGTCTGCTGCCCTGCACACGGTTTGCGTCATTCAGCCTACTTCTGCTGGCTACTCAGGCAGAGACCAGGCGAGAGGTAGAAAAACAGAGCGTCTCAGTGCAAAAGTTTGAACCTCAGTCCTTTCAGCAGAAGAAAAATCTGCATAAATAGTAATAACAGAAGAAAATACCACGCTTGCTCGCTGAGACGGGCACCAGTCCACGTTGCAACTTCTAGGTGGTAAGTCCCTTTCTTTTTTCTCCAGGAAATCAGAAGGAAAAAAAGCAAGACAAAGCAGAGTAAATAGGGCGTCTGATTTTTTCGCTGAGAAGCAGCTTTTCCAGCTCTGCACCGCAGAGATTCAAAGGCTCGCCTCTCTCTCTCTCTCTCCCCACTATCTGGTATCCAGCAGACTGCGCTCGGAGGCAGCAGCTTTATCTTTATAGCGCACGGTGACGTCCCGCAGAAAGGGCGGGTCGGTAACGCGCAGTACTCCAATAGGAGCAGGATTTTTCCCCGAGACAGAAGGAGAGGAAGGAGGAGGAGAACAGAGGGGAGGAGGCACGCGATTCAGGGTTGACAGCAATAGCCAGTCAGCTGACCGACTTCCCTACAACAGGAGAGGAGGGGAGAGAAAAGCCTCCGCTCCACTCCAGACGCGCGCTGCTCCCGTTCCACTGCTGACAGTTTCCGATCTCCGGGAGAGTAATGTGAGCAGGCTGCAGAGCTAATTGTTATGAGCTCAGAGAGCAATTCCGTGGCACTATAGACTGTTTAATCAAACGTCCAGGTAAACGTGGCAGTTCTCGTCTTATTCAAAAAACCCTTTGGCTTTAACAGGAGACGTCTCTTCTCCAGAACCATTCTCGCATTTATTCTACAGCGTGATTTGTGTTGACATTGATAGGACGTTTTTAAATTCTAAATGGAAATTAGTTATATTTAAAAATCGTTACAGCAATTTAGCAGAATAAAAAAAAGTTTGTTTTAATTTCACTGAAAAAAACGACAGTTTACAACTCTTCAAAAGTCCAACCTTGGCTTCCCCAAAACAATAAAAACCCACACTTTCTAATGTTGCTCCTACAGTTATTAGCACCTTAAGAAACCTGCATATGTTAGGAAACATTTAGACTTAGAATAGGTAACTAGATTAAAGTGACTTCTAATGTGTTTGAGTGTTGACATACACCCTTAATAGGCCTATCTATGACCTATCTATGACTATTAAAAGTACTTCCAATTTAGACCACTTCGGTACAAGCTTGCAATTTCTGTCTGCTTCCTACCAGACTCCTCGTCGCTCGGACCGTCTGTTTCACGCCGAATAGCATCCATCAAGAGTCACCAGAAAACAGGCTCAAGGCTGCCCCTGCGTGGGCAACCCACGCTCCGACCAGAGCAGCGCAACGCTGCTGCTGTCCTCCTGCTGTCCTGCTGTCCTCCTGCCCTGCGCTGGACTTCCATCAGCGCGCTAATTGCGCCTTTTAAAGGTCACATCCTGCAAATATGACTGACAGCTATTCATCTCGGCCACGGAAGCATGTCCAGTCTATATTACTTCAACTTTATGGCGGTCCAGACAACAGTGCAGCAAGGACTCCAGTTTGTGCTCGAGGTTGATCTTATCTGTAAACTTTAAAAAAGGGAGAAAAATAAAGAGAATATTATAAAAGAACAAATCAAACCCGTAATGAGGAATTATCAGCAAATTAGCCAATTTGAAGCATCGATTCCATTTTGGTTTTCCCTCCACTAACAGCTGAGCACAGCCGGGATCAGAGCATCGATCAGGCTGAGGAGGCTGCAGGGAGGAAACCTTAATGAAAGGCTCATTTGCTCAGTTTAAAATCTTAATCAGTTTAGCTTTGTTGCACATATTGTATCCATACATACAAAACCAAAATACCCACACGTGGTTTAGTTGATATGTTTTAGTGCATGTATTTTGAAGCTATAATTTGTGCAATTAATTAGATTGCTATATATTGGAATGGGTAAAAAGTTTGACCTCAATTAAAAAACAGATATTTAAAAAATAATTATAATCGAGAGATTTTAAAGAGGGTCAATATTTTCACGGAACATAAATGAAAAAGAATAAGGGAGCACCAAAGAGCAGTCCGAAATGACAAGTTTGGGGTTATAATTTATTATATATTATGCATAATTCTGATTGATTTTTTCTAATTGGTTTTAGAGTGGTTGTAGCACTCTCCTTTTTAAAAAAAATATTAAGATACATTCTAAAAACAAAAATAGTAAATTAATTTGAGATTGTTCCAAGCGACCGTACGTTTTAGTTAAAAATCATCTCAGATAAAGTTCTCGGTCCCGAATTAATTCAGCGTGTTAATTTAGACTAGCGCTGTTTATGTCTTTTTTAAAAAAAAATTTATGTCTCCCCTTGGAGTCTACAGGTCACCGAATACGGTCAAATCCAATCCAAATTCTTCTCTCCCTTAGATTTTATGAACACACATCTGCACTGGAGGTTTAATCGTCCTCTGTTCAGTCCCTGCTCCGCCAGGCGAGGTTCTCGGTTCTCACTTCTCAGCTCTCAGCTCCATCTTCAGAGCCGCCCTGAGCGCGTCGCAGAGCAGAAACCTCCTCCCGACCGGGCCGGCCCGGCGGCGGCCCCATTAGGGCTTAATGCTCTCCAACATAACCCGAGTCCAGCGCCTAATAGATCCAGGCAGGCCTGCCGGCGGCTCTCCTCTCCCCCTTCGGTAATCACGAGCTGTAATGGAGAGATGAGATGTAAAAAAGCGTGCATGTCAGCAGCATATCGGTGGTTAATGATCTATTAAGTGATCCGTGTGCTTATGGACAGCGAAAAAAAGTGTTGATGCTTGCTTATTTGCGCCTAATGAGAGTCCCATCCTACGGATTTTAGGAATGAATAACAGAAATAAAATCACCTTTAAAATGTTACATTTAACAGTCGGTGCACGGAGGCTGGAGAGGCTGCAGCGCTCCCCAGCAGCTCTCACCGGGGCCCGCAGCTCATACCGGGGCCTGCAGCTCATACCGGGGCCCGGTGCACACACCGGGGGCCCGGTGCGCATAGCAGGGCTCTCCACTTTTACGGATTTCTGTCCGCTTTTAGGACCTCAATGTGCACCTGCGACCCGAAGGCCGATTGCATTGGCCAGAACCGTGTGGATCTGATCTGGAACTCCGTCCATCAGACAGGACTATCAGAGGGACCACAAAGGAATACTCCCCTCTCTTTTACAACCAGAACCTTCCTTTCTGTGTCGTTCTGGGGGAAAACAGGGCTCGTTTATTTGGACACGTCTACGCTCTGTGGTTCTACTTCTGATGGTCCCTCCACGTTTCTGGAGGAAAAAGAGGAGAGGAGCCCCAGTGGAAGGCCCGTGACAGCGCGCGTGAGGGCTGGAGGTGCAGAGGGTCCTCTCTAAAGTGCTGCTTTGACGAGCTTTGATGCAGGAAGGAGGAAAGGAAAGAGCGAGAAGCCACTTTTAACCCTCGAAAGTTCCAATCGTCCTCATAATATAGTAACTCATTTTACAATATGTCTCGGTTGTGTTTTAAGTTGTAGAAGTAATATATTCTATTATGTAGGGTTTTCTTTGTGTTTCATGACTAGAATATCCATCTGGCACTTGGTTTGTTCTGTCCTTGTTCAGTTTTAGAAACTGATGCGCTGCAGACATCCATTAGCTGCCAACGATGCATGTCATTGTACTGTTAATGATCTGAACAATGTTTTAGAATATTTCGACATTTAACAGCTGGTGCATTTGATCATTGGAGCTATACTTCATAGCTGAATGGCATTACGAACACATGTCTCCGATAATATTTTTTTTGGGTGCACGAGATATACATGTCTCCCAAATCTCAGTGCGATTATGCATGCTGTGGTCCTGTTGAGTCAGAAATCTTAACATCCTCCTTTTACATTTTGAGAGTTACTCAGACATTCTTGTTTACTCCAGACTGATCGATTGTCTCTGTGAAAACATGTATTATTAAGACCTGTCGTCTTTGTAAACAGGCATTAACCAGCCACTGATGAAGTCTAACCTCCACATCAGGGATAATGGACGGTGGGATCTTTCAGGAAACGCATTTAAGGTGAGACAGAACTTTAAACGCTCTGAAATCTCAAATGTTTGCATCGATTAAAGAGGGGGCGCCGAGTGTTTCTCCTTGAAGCCCACCCTCTGCACGCTGTCACTGCTGGCTGTCACAGCTCTCCTTTAAGAGTCCCAGTTACACTCTCAGGCAGTGGTGTTTAAGCGAAAATTGGGCTTTATTTCTTGTGACAGGGCGCCCCTGGTGGCGCATGCTCTCACTGCTGAAGGTTTGATGCGCATCACCACTGGCACACAGTTTTTTAGCTCGTGCTGACAGCGCCAGCTTCAGAAATGCTGCTATTCTGGCCTGCCTTGTTTTTTTCTACATGGCATAGAGACAGAGAGAATATAAAAAAAAAAAAGCTGATGGGGAGGCCAAGGCTTAATTGTAGGCCTTTTCTGAGATTAGATGTCCCTGATTGACATGTAGTAAATATAACAACAAATAAATGTCAGTGTGCACTGTACTGGCTTAATCCCAGAAGAAAAAGGACAATAAATCTGCCTTTTGCTGTGGTCATTTCATTAATGTAAATTGCAATGCTATGTACAATAGTTTGGCTTCTTTCCAGTTGGCTCTTTGCTGAGGTTTGTGCATGATATTAGGTTTGATTATAAACTGAGGCTGTGTGACCACAGAATGTAGGCGACTCCACAAGAACCAAATATCAGAGTGCAGGCAAAATATAATTAAAGGCCATATTCTGGGGCCATAACCACAATTCACATCTGTGTTTTCTCAGCCAACAACTGGCTACTGCAGTTCCAAAGACACTTATAATACACTGAAAACATAATTACAGTCATTTTTACTCACAAAGAATCAGTCCTATCAAAATG